GAAACGGGAAATCCATTGCGAAAAATGTGAGAAAAGTTTCTATTTTTTTAACTTGTTATGGGTTATGGGTTTAGACATGTAAAGAACAAAATTGCTAACGCAGGCCACCAAGGGAAAACATTTTACAGCCAAAGGTAATTACAGAAAGGGACCTAAATTAAATTATTTGATATTGAGTATACGCAAAATTTGATGCTCTACAACTTTGATTCTATGGGTTTTTCCTCATAGGGAACTCATTTCCAAGTTACAGGGCCATTTATAGTAATTTGTCCCAGTTTTTGGCAAATTTGGTAAAACTCGAAGTTGGTTGACCGTGGTTTTATACCTTACCGCGAAACCAAATTTTAAAGTATATGTACTCGTTTGAGGCAAACTTTAACGCTATTTAATTTATTAAAGAACACATTTTTCGCTTTGATGCATTGTTTAGGAGTTATAGATGAAAAACCCAAAAAATATCGAAAAAATCTGATTTTTTTGGCTGTAAAAAGTTTTCCCTTGGTGGCCTGCGTTAGCAATTTTGTTCTTTACATGTCTAAACCCATATATACAAGTTAAAAAAATAGAAACTTTTCTCACATTTTTCGCAATGGATTTCCCGTTTCGATCCTCAAATTATTGGCCTAATATTCTTTAAACCAGCCGCCATTTTTTGAAAGCAGAGGCTTCGGAACGGCAGACAAGGTTTTTTTTATTCAGAATAACATACACTTTCGTAATTTACAATAAAACCTTCGCCTGCGATCAGGTCGATTTTTGGGCCCTGGCTCCAGGGCTATCTTTTCTCATAAAATGTAATCAAACATTACTTAAAAAAACTTCCCCTCCATAAATGTCCTGGATACGACCTCCTTACGTTAAGTATGCACTGGATTTTTTTTTCAACCGCGAATCGTCAAATATGCATGCAATCGGCATATGAGCAACTCTTTCGCATTTTAGTATTCGCTGATGAACTAGTGGATATCAAAATCGTGTATGTTGAAGTAATACTGAATTTCCGAAAACGGCTTCTTGCAGAAATTTTATTGTAATACGAAAAAAATTAGACCTTGTAATATAGATATTTTTCAGCCGGTGAAAACGGTGAGGAAGACTGACCTTACCTGGCAGACGTTCTTGTGAATAGGATGTGGCAATCGTGGATTCCCTAAAGCTTGAATAAGGTTGAGTCCATGTGTTATTTAAAAAAACGATACATTTTAGAGCTTTCAAGCGCAGAAACCTGTGTAGTTTTTATGAATTATACTGTATCTTGATTTTCGGTTCAAATTACGATATTTAAAAGACTTTATCCCGCCTCGATCCATCGATTTTTGAAACTGTCAACTGTTATTGACCTCCTAATTTTTAAATCATTTTTATTGTAACTGTAGTAAGGATTTAATATAGTGATTGCCGACTAAATTGATTTGCGCAAAATTTATGGTCATAGGGAAATTTATCTAAAGGGAGATAAGGGTAATTATTGCCTCTATCTGAGCATGCTCACATTACAATTATGTACATGGTAGGGGAAATCAGTATTTGTTTCCCCTGCTCCTCCACGTTTAACTGGTTTAGCGTTTCAATCATCACTACCTGGAATCCCAGGTTTATTGCAGGATTCTAAATGCTGGTTTACAAAGCACAGCAGAGTGTGTTACTGGTTCGGCTAATTAAATTAATGACTCGCATTGCTATCAATATTAGTTTATATATGTTCCGTTACGCTCTATTTGTCGAAGATCAATGTGTAACTATATCATCACATAAATCAATTTTTAACTTTAAAAAAAGTATTCCCTAGATCCCCGAGATATTCTTTACGTTCACTTAAATTCAGATCTGTGGACGTAAGTGAAAGAAATGTGGTTTTTCGTATTGTCGAATCAAAACGGAAATATTCGTTTTTATCACGTCCAAAAAAACGTTTACCAAATGAGGTAAGTATAGCTTCCTCACCGTTTTCATTTGCTAAAAAATATCTATATTAAAATGTCTAAACATTTTTTTATGAGAATAAAATCTCTGGAAGAAGCCGTTTTCGGAAATTCAGTGATCCCTCAATATATACGGGTGTGATATCCAAAATTTTTGTTGATCAGCAAATGCTAAATGTAATGTAATGTTCAGCATTTGCAGATTGCATATTTGATAATTCTGTATTAAAAAAAAGTTCCAGTGCATACTGAATATGTATCTCGATACTGTTTAGTGCAAATGACGTTTTTAAAATTGAGATTTATGATTTATTAGTATAATTTTATATTCTATTGCCCTCTCCTATTTTTCATAGTAGTAGACTCCTTATATGAATTGCAGACTACATAATGTCAAAAATAGAATAAAAATTGAAAACTTTTATATACGATCTTTGCACTAACAGTAGTGATATATACTTAATAGGTATGTTTTCACTCGTAAACTGGATGAAACAAAAAATCCATAGGAAAAATCCAACTTTTTGTTTGATCGGAATTAACCAATACTTTTCTTCAGCCAGAAAAAAAAAACACAATCACAAATAAGTCATTTTTTTCCAAATTCAGAGTAAAAATTACTTTAAATTTACTTGGTTCAAGTTGAATGCGCCGTTTTCAAACTGTAGGTATATCAAATAACACATTTGCTGATCTGAAAGCGACAGTTTTTTTTTAGTATTAGATAGAATTTAATAAAATCGATGCCTGTTTCATTTTACGTTTACCAATCGCTGAATTCCTTACAAGTTAGAGATATATACCTATCAAGGACAACGGATTTGCGCATAGATAAAAGAAAGCAATGGACAGATTCAATAAAATTGACCCTACATTATCTGATAACTAATACCTACATTTTATTCAACTTTGAGCCCAATCGAACAAGCCGTTTCTGAAATATTGGCATATCATCGAAACTGCGTTTGCGCGTGCGAAAGTGGCAGTGCTGGTAAGAATTTATTAGATACGAAACCTAGTCTTATTCCTTAAATGGTTTTTATATTAATGTATTCATAATAGATTTTTTCTCACAAAATACCTACCTATGTTTGTAATGCTTGCTGTCAGGTTTTTTCAATCTGTTTAAATATACTTTGCCTGTGTCGTTAATCGTTTCCTGGATGTATTTTTGCCTCATAATTGTTTCTCAGAACATTTAATCCCCAAAATCACTTTCCAAGAGAAGGTTCAAGACGACAAGAGAAAGGTGGAAATCGAATGAACCTTTCGCCATGTTCTTCTGAAATCGTTCCAAGTTCCAACTTATTACAGCACAATCCAGTCCCTCGGGATTCCCGTTACTGGGATTACCAGATATTATTAAATACACCTGTGAAAGTACGAATTGAATATTACGCAAGTATTCTTAACGTACTCCTTATAGAAAAAGGCATGTTCAAATTAATTATAAAATAATTTGTATCAAAGAAAAAATAAGTACAGTAGTACTTTTTGTAAGTTCACCTTAATAAGTATTTTAAAACAAACGACATATTAGTATAAAGATTTATCATTATTTTATAATATTCATTCACTCTCACAAACACACATTTGTAATATACCTGTGTTTACTCAGTTGTCGAAATTCGATTATAATCATCGTTAAAAATTTTAGGAAAACATAAATAAATTTACATGTCTCTAACATTATTTTTTCTACTCTTATATATTCGTACATAACTTTTTCTATATGTACTTACAATACAAAACAGTGTAGCACAATTCGTGTACTTTGTGGATGTGTGCAGGTTATTCGCAAATAAAATTCCGAGTCCAGCGTTATTTAAAAAAAAAAATATATTTGAACCTCCTTTGCTTATTCGGTCTGTACAAATTGCTTCATTTCAACATTATGGTTGTACTATAGCAATATGTCAAATACAAATTTGTCATAATAGACCTCTCCTTAAAGATGTAAATTGAAAAAATACAATAAAAATTTATTAGAAGATATAATATGTTTCGATTACGATGACTTTTTTCTTTATGATTTTTTAAGGGATTTAAGAAGCTTTCAAATACTTAGAGGTTTAATAAACCAAAATTTATGTTCTTTTTGAGTTATTTGCGAATAAAATTATGAATTCAACGTTAATTTTTTATAAGCTTACAAGTATGTCGAATAATCTGAAAGGGCTTCAAGGAAAAGACTTACCCAAGTCTTATTAAAATCGTTACTGCCGTTTTGGGGCTTTAATCTACAGCGCGACTCACGTTTTCGGCCGCCATTTCGAAACGAAAGGGCGGATGACAATGATATGCTTATAAAAACATTTCTCAATTTGATTGCTATAGCGTATGTAATAAAGTTTCATAGCGATTGGTGAACTTTCGGAGATTAGGGATTTTGAACTTTTGGTCTCAATTGTGAGGGGAAACCAAATCAGATGGTTGGGCCATGTGGCGCGTTTGCCCCGAGACGCGTTGCCCAAAAGCTTACTAGAGGATCGGCCTGCTGGAAAACGTAGAAGAGGAAGACCACGCCTGAGATCGCCTAGGACAGCCTCAGAAGGATAGGAATTCGAAAATGGAGAATGCTCGCTCGCGATAGAGGAGAGTGGCGAAGGATCATAAGAGAGATCCAGGTTCTTACAGGACCAAGAATAAAAAAAATATAATATATATAATATATAAAGACCCAAGAATTTTTTTTAAAGCAGAGTTGGGTCCATCACTCACCAATCAGAATGGAAAGTATGCGCCTAAGGTTTCACCAGAAAGCTACTAATTTTTCTCTCGTCCTTTTTGTCTAATGGATTAAGTTAGGCGGCTAATACATATATGATTATTCCTTTGTGAATCATGGATTAAAACTCGAAAATTGAATTTGCATCTGTGAAAATTCCAAACTTTCAATGCGTTTATCTGAAAATATTATTATGAACACTTAACATACTATTCGCAGATGCCACAGATATATAGTAAAAATAAAACTTATAAGGATAGAAGAATACAAATTATTTTCAATACCTTTAATATATTTGTTTATTATGTATTTAATTGTTATTTATTTATCTTTTTTTTTTTTTTTAGGAGAAAGTTGCTTTATTATTGTGCCTGGATCTTCACCTACTTCTGTATTGTCTGCTTTCTTCAATTCTTCACCAGCGCTTCAATTAGTTTATTCAGTGGTTTTGTCTTGATACTTTTCTTATATTGGGTTTGAACATGAGATTCGTAAATGTAATTACTTATAATTGTAAGACAAAAATATTTGTATTAATAAAACTGTTTTAAAGTATTTCTACATTGATAACTTTCTTCACTGCATTACGAGCATCAAAAAAGTAAAAATTAATATATTGCAATCATTTTTTTTTGTTTTTACACAATACAATACCTCAGAAGCGAATGAAACACAGAACAAAATTTTAAAAACACTTGGTAAATTAGTATAAATAACTGTTGATTGTTTCCAAGTTGATGTGCCAGTATATTTTCACTTAAAAAAAAATCCTGAAGTTCGTTTATGTTATATTTTGTTAAATTAAACCCTGCCCTTCAGTGATCCAGACTGTATTAATACTCAATAAAACCATAAAAAAAAAAGAAAAATAGATTAAACCTATGTATTTCCAGTGATATTTATTTTTCAACAAGAATGCGATGAGCTTGATCAGTTACCAACGATACGATTTTTTGTGTATGTTGATTTTGATCAATAAATAGAAAAAAAACAAACTGAAACAAACAAAAAATCATATTTACCAACGTCGACGTCACCATCTGATTTTAATCTATTAGAGCATAAACAAATAGGTTTAATAAACACGAGGGTTGGGAACATCAATGTAATAACATTATTTATTGAAGTAAGAGATGATTTTATTTTAACAACTGATAAACTTTCAAAATTATTTAGTTTATCAGCGACCATTGATCGCATCGAATTCTTTTGAAGGAATTTATCTAAAAAATATCTCATAATTTATTTTTAAAGCAATATGTACTTTTAGGAATCACTTTTTAAGATATTCTAAATTCTCCTCCATAGTTTTTTATTTGATGGTTTTATTATTTCTTATAATTTCTTTCATGAGTTGTAAATAAAAATGTATCAGTAGGGTCTGTTATTAAAGATAAGTCAGATATTAATTAAATTATCAAGAAAAGTCAAGGTTATAAATAATATTTAAAAAATCGTAAGGTGGCAATTTTAGACAAGATCTTGACATTTTTAGGCAGATAAGCACGGTATAGAAAAGTTCGTGGAGAACTTTTTATAAATTCTTCGTATAAATACAAGTTAATTTAGATTAACGACTTCTCAAAAACTATTATGATCTATAAAAATTGATGTAATATAAAATTTAATTACATACCCACAACATAAACACTGTCTATGATAGTTAAAAATAAATATATATATATCAAAATAAATACGTGACCTGTAATTTGGAATTAAAAATTTATATTATTTCTGATTAACGTATAAATATTTTTTAATAGTGAAGAAATAAATGAAGCAGATATAGAATATGTTTTAATTATGCAAAAACAGTTAGAAATTTGCTCTTATAGACCAGTATACACTTTTACGAAAAAAATAAAGAATTAAAAAATAAAAATGTATCAAATTCTCTATGAAAATCAGCTCGAATAGTTAGCAACTATCTGACTGTTTTTGGGATAGGAATTGGAATAGGAGGGTTTTGAATGTGGATATGGATGGGGAATGTCGAATTTTGATAGGGAGGGAATTCCAGAAATTGACAGAGCGAACAATAAAGGAATTTTGGAATGAGGCAGATCTGTGAGAAGGCATGTAAAGGTTAGAAGGTCGAGATCTTGTGGACAGGGAATGGACTGAGGATTTCAACTGGAGAAGGTTGTAGGCGTAAGAAGAACGATGGTTGTTGATGATTTGGTAGATGAACGTACCTAGGAAATATTGTCTTCGGAAGGAGGGGAAAAGCCACTTTAACTCAGCGTAGTGGTGAGAAACATGGGAGTATCTTGGGGCCCCGATCACAAATCTTACGCAGCTGTTCATTAGTATAACATTTAATTGATATAATAATATATTAATTATATCTAAAGTCATAAGGGAGAGAAAGAGAGATAGAACCATAGATCTGAAGAAAAAAAGATGTATATATTTGAGATTACTCTATAGAAGTTAGATAATGCTGTTGAATATACGACTGACAGTACAAATTTTAATGATTTTTATTCTTTTATTATTTTTATTAGACTTGAATGAGTCTAATAAATTTAGTTAATTTGTTTTGTTTTTTTAAGATTAATCTGCTGTTTTTGATGAAAAACTATCTTTGTTGTGCATTTTCATTATTCATCATAAATTTTAATAAACACCTGCATCACAAAAATGAATAAATAAATTAGGTACTTACGTACTTTTATTTTATTTTAATGTAATTATTTAATTAAATAATAAATCATATGGTTGAAAACTGATTTAATAATTCAATTTAAATATAGACTGTTTGTAAGTGGCACTTGTCTTAATTAATTACAATAATAGAATACATTAAGCTCAGATCAAATTTTAATTTGTATATTAAAGTTTAGCAATTATCTCTAATATAAGGTAAGATAGATCAGTTTAATTAATTTAATAACAGAATAATGGTTGCTAAGGTTCAGAGAGAGAGAGAGAGAGGGGTGGGGGAGGAGGGTTTTGAAATTGGGTTAATAAAAATGTAGCGAATGAGACCAAAGATTTTTAAAAAAATTAAAATTAATAAAAACAAGCTACTTATTAGCGGAGAAATTAAGCATTACGAGTTTCAACGAATAAAAAAGTTAGTTAATTGTCTCTTTCTTAAATTATGACAGTGCGAGCACTAATTTTCTGTTGAAATGGAGCCTTATGTTAAAAAGGTTAATAAATACATTATTGATAGTTCACAGAATCGGCCATATTGACTCGTTAATAATGAAAGAGGTGCTTGGTAATTAACGTAATAAAGCTATGACAAAATTTTAGGAGAACTTGGACGCCGACAAAGGGCAGTCAACTTTGATTAAATTCGTATCTTTTGTTCCTTTGATCCAGTGAGAAATTCAGCATTGATCGTAGCGGATGATCATTCGAGGTATGAAAGAATCTGATTAAAGAGAGCATTCATTTTAATTCCATCAATTTCCCTCTTTTATTTTTTTGGTCGCGTGAAAAGCGGGATGGTTGATAAGCAAAAGAGAAAAAAAAAGAGGAAAGTTTCCAAGAAGGCTCAACAAGGTTTATGATCCTTAGGAGAAATAGAAAGGGGTGGAAGAATTTTTATTTTTATAATTGAATTTTAGTTGCAGAAAGGGGATTAAAACAATTAGAGTTGGGTGCGACCCGCGGTTACAAATCATCCCCCCTCTCCTCCCGCCAAATGATAGATTTATTCAGCCAATAACTCTTCGGCTTAAATAACTGTCTCTAAAATAAACATTCGTTTTCGAAATCGTGTTCAATTTTGAGCGGGACAGTTCTTACTCAGACAGAATCTCATCGCAATTTACCTTTAAACCACTGAGTGAAGAATTCCTCGTTATGTAAAATAAATGATTCTGTCTTTTGAATTTTTTTCTTAACTTCCAAAAGTACTGCAGTATCCAAAATTATGTACTTACTCCTTTTGTACTAACTTTGTACCCTTACTGACAATGGCATGCTTTTTTTTTTCTTTGGGTTTCAGATCTCAGGAGAAGGCGCGGCGTTGTGCACAGGCGTCACCCCGCCCCTCCAACAGTGGCGTAGCTAAGATTGGCTAGTCCCCAATGGAAAAGTTTGCCTCCTTCCATCCCTCCTAAATATAAGTACTTTGTACCTGGGTACTTAATCTCGCAAAATTTTTAAAATTTCCTCCTTCGTCTTTGTCATATTATTGAGTGCCTCTCAGCGTAGAGATGCACCGATCCAGAACTACCAATTCCTCCCCTCCATCCCGATCCATCGCCTTAATTTAATTCATAGACTTCTCCTTCTTTTAAATAATCCTGGAGATGTGGTCCATACATAGCAATCTAGTTCTTCCTCTAGGACTGAGTCCAGTAGGCCTGGCCTCGAAGAATTTCTTTGGATCACGGTCCTCATCCAAACTGCATAGATGACAATATCAACTCTCTTTTCGACCGTTTCCCTCAAAGCTGGCACTCCCATGGTCTTCACGTATCCTTTCATTCCTAACTCTGTCCCTCCTGCTAATCTCTGGATGAACTTCATTTCTGGAGCAGTAGCTCTCCTCCAGTGCCTGTCAAGCCGGACCCAGCTCTGACTTTCATAAATAAAGGTAGGTAAGTATATGGACTTACAGGTATGTAATTTTTCCAATTCGCTTTTTTCCACCACTGTGCTACATAGCTGGTAGTATATGCTGTTAGCTTTCTTAATCCTGTTTGAGAGCTCTTGATATATTTCCCTGTTTCTGCTGAACAGTACTCCGAGATAAGTGAACTCCTTTACTACTGTCACCAAGGTTTCTCCTCCGCAGTAAACCGAAACTTCATCCTTTTCATGAACAATTTCAATTTGAGTTCAAACCATTTAGTCGACAAGATGGATGCATTAAAAGCAAAACAATAAAATATTTTTATTTTATCTTACATATATACATCTTTGACATTATTGCTCTAACTTATCAATTTATGTTTATATTAATTATTTTATGTTAAATAATAAGTGTTTCGTAAAAATAGTTCATGACATATAAATATTTCACGTAAAATAAATATTATAAAAATCTTCGTGGTAGATAGCAATCCATGTCTTGTAGTTTATATTTCAAATATTGAATTTTTCAGATATTGTATAATTTATTACATAATCCAAACGACCTATTATAATAAAATATAAATATATATAGTTACATGTATGTAATAATAAAACTTTAAACATTTATTTTCTTTACCTTAGTTATTAAACACGTTATATGGTTGCAACTTGTAGGTACATACAATTAAATATTGTTTAGTAAAAACTGGGCCGATAGTTACTCGAATACGCTATGCTATAGACCATGCTATGTGCTATAGACCATACGAAGTGAAAAGATTAAACTGGCGAAATTAATTATATGAGATATAAATTATAAATAAATAAATAAATTATAAATTATAAATAAATTATAAATTCGCGCGGGCTCATTACCGCGTATGGGGAGCGTCCCACGGGTGGCGGATGTGTGGATGGTCGGTGGAAATTCCTTGGAAGTT